AATGACAAGACAAATCCAGACTATAACTCTTGCAGCCATTACTGTATTGTAAAAATTGTAGACTACAATATTCTCAGACTTTAAATTTCTCAAGAAATTTGTGAGCTTGAGAGCTTAAAAAATGGAATGACTTTCCACAAAGGGGTTAAAAAAAGGACTACAACTTACGTTCTTTCCATCAAAACTCCCCAGAAGGAGATGCTTCTTCAGGGTTAAGTTTTGTATCTCAGGCTTGATGCCAACTTACCCACTGTGATTTAATTATCCCATTATCATCTCCTGTACTATGACACCACTCCAGGATTAATTGTACTGTGATCTCTTCTGTGTGTGGATTCCATTTTCTTCTTGTGAACTTTTAGTAAGAAAATCTATTATACAAATAATAAAAAATGTACTGCTCCTACACAATTATTTTAATAAAATTACTTTTCAGATAAGCTGAATGATTCAGTGTAAAGACCCCTACAACTTAAGTGTGTTTCAGTTCAAGCTTTTAGAGATAAAAGGTATCATGTAGCTAGGCTACACAGTTCTTTATATTGCTAGTGTAGGAAGTTCTGCTAATTCATTATTTTGAGGACACAAATAAATTAGACAGGTCAACATGAATAGGTGCTAAGGAAATCTTTGCAACCTTTTTCTGCAGAATACTCTTAAATTCCTTTAAAATCTCTTTTCAAATTCCTTTCAAATTTCCTTTACTCTTGTAATCACTACACTACTAGTGTATTAACTTGCTCAGAAGCAAATATGCAAAGAATTAGATTCATTACCCTGCAATTAGAATAATTTCTCATCATCACTGATTGTTTTCCCAGGTATTGTAATAGCAAAAGATTTAGATATGGTGAAGCACGACGAGAAATTTTCAAAGTGGGGAAAAAAAAAACACAACTAAAAGCTGCTGCAGATATGCTCACATCTTAGATACTTCTGTGCTGATATAACTAGTTCAGAATAGAAATTAAGAACTCCAACACTGAACTAGAGCCACTTTCAGATCCTCTCGTTCACTCTTCTTTCTTTCAACACCATACACATTATGGGGTAGAAAGGAACTGTTATTCAGACACGAATCATACAGTAAACCCCAAAACAAATAGATGATATTTCCCATTGGGATAACAGCTTTTTTATTTTAGACAAGACCTAAGCATATGCAAATGTATATCTGAGATCAGAGAATTACAGAATAATCTAAATTGAAACACACCTCTAAAGGTCACGCAGTTCACTCCCTTGTTTAAAGCAGAACTGGCCTCACAGTAAGGTCAGATTGTCAATAGAATAGAGCTCACGTGGTTAAGTTCAGCAGTATGATCTCTTTAAGGAGCACTTAAAGTAAATGAACTGGGACTCTGGCTAAAATTTCACTAAGGCTTTGCCATAAACTGTACAACCCACTTGGGGTCTGAATCCAGTACTCACTAAAGTCCAGGAAAAGAGTCCCCATTGATAGTGATGAGCTTTGGATAGGTCTTTCTGCGTCTTGCCTTCGTATGTGTGAAGAAAAATGACAACGAACTATGGGATAATAATATTTCTCTATCACTGTTGGATGCTGTGAGGATGAATTCAACAAACGCCTGTTGGCTACTTGAATGCTGCTTCTTTTTACTCCCTTGTCTTCAAAGCCACACTTATATTTAGATTGATCTTTCTAAGGCAGCTATATGGCCCCATTACTGTGGATCTGAACAGCTCACAGCCTTTAATGCTTTTATCCTCCTAGCGCCCCTCTGATGTAGGGATGTTCTATTATCCATGCTTTACTGATAGAGAACAGAGATACTAAAGCTTAGATTGGTTCCAGTGGGAATAAAATGCCTACTTACCTTTATATCTGCACATAAACGGCTTGCCCAAGGTCATTCAAGCAGTCTGTGGCAGAGTGAGTGCCCCTATATTTGAATTCCAGGTGAACCCCCTCTGCCTTAAATGGAAGGCTTTTTCCTGGAATTCAGAGATGGGTGTAGGGCAACCATTCAAAAATACAGATTTCAAAAGCAGAAAAAAGTATCAGAGTGTAAGTAGCTTTTGACTAAAGAAAGTCAAAAGGGGCTGGGGGTAGTGGGAGACTTAAAATTTGGTCATTGAATAAAACTGTACTTTTCAAGAGTTCCCGCTATGCTAGCATGGTTATCATAAGAAAATCTAGTAAGGAAGGGGTTTTAATCTTGTGAGATGTCTTTCTGGAAGCCCTCTTAGAGATTTCTCACCCAGAGGAAAATGAATGGTAGAGTCAAGAAAGAAGATGATATAATCATGTGGTTAAGCAACCATAATCAAACTATTAGAGCAGGCGAATGAGCAGTGCTATTCAGGTTAGAAGAGACAGAATTTCAGAAGAGTATAGTACAGATGTACTCTATACAGGGTACAGTTTTTCTATATGGTTCTATTTTGGTGGTAACTTACATGGTACCTAAGTTTCAGTGACATTCAAAACAAACACTGACGGAAGTTTAGATCTACTACTAAGCATCACATGCCTCCAGAAGTTTATGCTTACGCTTTTACTGAGGGGAAGAGGATGATGAACAAGGAAGAAGTTGGAGAGTATTGGTTTAGGTTAACAGTATTCACCTTTTGGTAAGCCATCATTATAACAAGCTATGGTTAATATTTTACCCATAAAATATTATAAATTATGAATGGACACATTAATGTAAGTTCTACCTTCCTAAAATGATAAAAGTCTAGTTCCTCATTTGATACTACAAGGCAAGCAGTCTTGATTTTGTAGCAGTTGGGCATTTTTCGTTTTTTTATTGTCATTATTGGACAGTTTACAACTTCAGTAAATTTGGAGAAGATACAAAACAGTGTTGATAGACCAGACAATCTCTCCAGCATTCAGAGGGACCTTGACAAACTAGAGAAATAGGCAAAAAGTAACCTCATGAGCTTCAACAAAGAAAATTCAAGGGTCTACACTTGGATTAAGAATAACCCCATTCGCTAGCATTGACTGGCGGCCCAAACAGTTGGAAAGCAGCTTTGCAGAGAAAAGACCTGGGGGTCCTGGCGGACAACAAGATGACCATGAGCCAGCAGTATGCCATTCAGCAAAGATGGCCAATGTTATCCTGGCATCCAGGTCTGTCTTGGGAAGAGCAATGTCAGCAGACAGAAGAAGATGATCCTTCCCCTGCACTCTCTATGAGTGTTGCATAACTGGAGTGCTGGGTTTGATTCTGGGCTCCCCAGTAGAAAGCAGACAAGGACTTACTGTAGTAAGTCCACAGAGGGCAAAGATGATTAAGGGACTGGAGTATCTTTTGTATGAAAAAAGCCTGAGAGAGCTGGGTCTGCTCAGCCTGAAGAAGAGAAGAGTCAGGGGAATCTGTGACCTGCAATGTGAGGTCATAAGGACTCTCCTCAAAAGAACTACAGCTGTGGGATAAAACTTGGCAAATGAATCCCTAACACAGAAGAATAGTCTGAGGAAATTCACTTCATATATGAAGAAGAAACCAGAATTAGGATCAGGCTGGAATTAAAGTGACCTGCTGGGATGAATTGTGAGATTCCTGGTACAGTAATAAGATTCCCTATCAGCTGGATGAACAAGTTCATGACTCTAGCATCATTATATAAGATTAACTACTGCTATCATTAATGTTATTAGTAGTACAAAATCCCAAGAGACTTTGGAGCAAGAGAGAAGAAAACAGAGGAGGATTTATCCATTAGAATTTGTCTAGAGACAGATCTGTGGTGTTCAGTGGAACTGAATGCCAAACCGCTGGAGATACACATCTGGGCTTTTTGACATTTTAAGAATCTTGTACTTGTAAAATTTTACTATTTTTGTGGCTACATCTAGCTTCTCTCCGTGATGCTCAGTTGCAACTTGCAACTTCAGTTTGCTGGTTATATGTTTGAAGGTCTTTGTGCTATGTTCCATTTGCTGTTCAGAAAAGCCTTGGTTTACTGATTTGTTATTTATAACTGGAGCTTTAAGGTAGAGATCATGACAAGCAACGCTCTTTCAATTTTTCAGCACTACAGATGACCCTTGACAAAATGAGATTTTAGCTTAGCCCTTACTTGGGTTGAAAAGTGTCAGGTCCCCAAACCTGTCCATAAAGGCTTGGAAGATTGCTGCATTCTGACCAAACATCAGTTATAATTAAGAGGAAAATCAGTTCCTGTCCTTAATCTACTCAGTAAAGCATGATGCAGAATGCACTGATGTCATTATATACAATTATATTGTACAACTAGACACTAGAGGATGTCTATTGTTTCTGTCTAGCTACCAGTCCCAGAGGCTTTGGGTGCTATTAATAAAGCAGATAAATTGAAATAATGAAACAGATGGTAGGCTTGATAGGGAGGCCCAACTCTAACAAAGGACTACAACGTTTATATCCAAGGAAGCATTTAGAATCTTACTGGGAAAGAATGACTCTCTTATGTAAAGTGCTGTGACATACTTGAAATCAAACAGAGGAATTCTACTTTTCAAATTTATGGCCAAGTTTTCCGGTCTTGTAATGGCTTTGTAGTGTGAAAGGGTAAATACAAAGACGGTCCATGCACAGAGCATGCAGAATTGTGGCCACAGTGCTACATGTAACACAAACATTCCTTGCACAATTCAAACAGAAAAGGACAGGGAGTGCAATACGGATAGAGAGGATGAAGGCTTACACCACTGTTCTTATCATTAGGAAAAAGAAATGGCTTCAGAGGAGCAAGCTACAGTCAGCAAAATGATGCCACCCTGTGCAGCCACACAGGCTATATGAATCACTTTACTGGAGCGAGCAATGGGAAAAGATAATATTGCTATCAGTGCAAACAAGTAAAGCTGCCAGATTTTTGCATAGACAAGCTTTTACAAGTAGGAGTACTAGAATGCTCAGGCTAACCTTACAGCTAAATCAGCCAAATAAAAAACCAACTCTGTTAAAAAGCCAGCACACAGAACAGGTTAACTCAAGCACTATAATAACTGATGAATCCAAAATATTTTTAGTAAAACCTACCTGTGACCTTGCCCAAGGTAAGTGATTTGGTGGCCTTAAAATCAATCTCAGAAAAGTTGTGTTTGAGTTTGAGAACTTGATCAACCTGGAAGAAGACAAAAAATTAGTTCATTAAAACAGCACACAGATACCTCTAGATCTTTCTGTGTACCACAAACTTGTGGGAAAGCTCTCAGCTGCAAATAACTTAATTCTGCCCCCAAGCGTGATTCAGTTTCTAAAGATAGCAAAGTGAATGTGCTTTAATTTTTGAATGAGAAGCTGAAGGTGCACAAGTATAGTCATATAAAGGGATTTAAAGAAACTTCCCCTGCAGAAAAGCTTAAAATGTTTAACACTGAAATTCCCCTACTTCCCAAATTTCATGTCTAGTCACTTCAGAGTGCACTCAAAGGAGACCTCTCTAGGAATGCATTGTGGAGAATTAGTTCTCAATAGAAGAAAGCCACAGTGTGGCAGACAATAGAAGACTGACAATAGAAAAAAACCCTGACTGTTAGCATAAACCTCCTTCCTAGATAATCAGGCCTACCTATTTTAGTTGCTGTGTTAACTGCATATTATTTTAACAACAAGAAATGGAAATTGCAGAGGAAAGAAAAAAATATGGTGCTCCCTGTGTTTCTTTTGTTTTCTCATTCTATTCTTTCATTAACACATGGTTTCTCCTTAGACCTACCCTGCCACTCCTCTGTTAAATGATCATGGACCAGACATACCAAATTTAATTTGGAATTTGAAATGATGTAATTAGCCTCAGAAGGAAAGCAGAAGGAGCAGTAAGATGGCACTCTTCATCCTGCCTTTGAAAAACAGGCAATGCAAGAGAACAGGGACAGATGAGGGGTCTCACCTCCCATGAAACCACCACAGTAACAGGGCACACCGAAGGGTGGGCCTACATCTAGCAAAGGAACAGGACATCAGCAGGCTGCACCCTGCCTTCTTTCAGCCCTTCCTCTTTGAGAAGATGAAGCTGCTGTAGTCATATTTTCCTTTGGGGCACATACACCTAATGAAATAACTTTCCCTGGTGCTCCCTCCTTGGTTGTTTTTCTCCATATGGCAGCTTTTAAATGATATACGTTGTGTACTCCCTTTGCGCCTACAGGTCACACAGATAACCCTAAGCCCCAGCACCACTCTAGTGGGCCAGATGAATTTCTGGTCAAATGTGTTTCCCAGTTCACAGATTGTAAGAGACAAGGGAGAAATCACTCTATAGAAAATACCACTGCTGGGCACTCTTTGAGGCATGGTCTGGGCCAGGCCGTGGTCTGGATGGAGCTTTTGTTTAACTCACAGGGCTTTTCTTCTGCTGGACCTCCTACTGGCAATCAGGCACTGAAATCAGTGGGTCTGTTTCTGGCATGAAGTATTCCTTTACACCAAACTGGGAATTTAGCCCTGAAAATAAGCCATGACATACCTGAATGATGAGCTCCCTGCCATCTCTGTTAATCTTCACATGGTGCAGCTCTCGGTTGGCAAAATTTCCAGAGTCGATTGTGAAAATAAGAAGCCCATCCTTACTCAGCTTATATCGGACCTGTAAACTTCCTTAAAAGCAGAGCAAGATTCTATAAAACTTGTGTCCATAATGAGATACTGTTCAATACCTTTACATAACATATAACTTATTTTCTTTTCATTATAGTGGAGAAACAAGGTTAAAAAAAGTCAAGAAACAGGTTGAAGAGAGATGACAGAGTTCTCACTTTAATGAAAGGTATGGAAAAAAAAATGCACTGGAGGAGTTTTTCTTCTTACTAGCTAACAAACTCTGCTGTGGAGAAGCATAACTTAATAGAGTAACTGAGTGTAACAAAGAAGACAGTGTCTGTCCCCAGGTCAGACATTGAGCATGGCCCCAACAGCTGATCTACGGTAGTCTGTGAAGGATTGCTTCCACCAGAGGGCATGCAGGCCTTGCACTATTCTGTTAAACTAATATTGGTGCATTTTACTATTCCAAGTGAGGACTTCATCAAGATATAACAGCCAATGCAGAAGACTGTGACGAATGTGAGAATTATAACTTAATTTCAGGCATTTAAAGGCCCAGATTCATTATGATTTATATGCTATGCGAGAAAAGATATATTGCAAATGATTAGCAAAAACCACTTTGGTTTTCTAAACTATTTGAAAAAAATAAATAAAATTCATTTAAAATAAATCCCAAACATCTCTTTTAGTTTTTGCAGAAAATAAATACAGCATTGTGACTTCAGAGACACACCACTGACCCTTGATGTAGTCTGGCATTTTAGAGAGGTGAATGAGCAGCCCTGCTTGGCTCCTCTGTTTGGCCATATTAATGCTGTAAAACTGACTTCTTGTCTAGATTTAGAGGCAGAGGACAAGAAGTGGTTCTCCTTCACTGCATAGCATGGACATAACTGCTCTCCTTACCCTTGGCCTTAACTGCAGGAATGGCCTTAATGCAGCTACACTGCAACAGCACTTGCAACTGCTGTCCTTAAGGCTCTTGCAAAACTACTTTATGAGTATAAAACAATGGATAAACTTCCTGCAGAGAAGGAATTTTGCAACCCCTATGCAACTCACAGTTATGTCAACAGTTCTTCCAAATTGGACCCAAAGTCCCATTAAATCATCTCTCTTCCTTTGCCCCACCAGGATGTTTGCTGCTCAGGCTCCTAAGAGCTGCTCTTCTTCTAACATTCTGTGTAATCCCAGATGAGAACTACCTCTCTCTGAGCTTTGAGGGATAGAAACAAAGCTTTCGTAGATGAGAGGGAAAATGAGAATGAACTACTAGGATGAAGGCTTTTTAGCTGACTGAGAGGTCTACTGGATCAGGTGATGGTTTAAATGAAAAAATAAAAAAAGTATTTAAAATACTAGGCATTTACTTTCTCACATGTAGTCATGGAAGTAAGAGGGAAATTTCTGAAGAGATCAAGGTCAGTAACAACTCCTAAATTATCCAGTGTGATAATACAGGTCCTGATTCAGCTGCTCTGATTCATACTGCAAAGCTCCTGTCCCCTCATTGCATGTCCAGGACAACTGTTTATTACCTTTAAAGTTAAAGGTCCAAACTTATATCATAGTGCCATTTTCTTGTACATTTTCTGAGTGATGCATCAACAGGGAATAAAAGTGGGAACATCTGATAATAACGTTAGAAAGACATGAGAAAAAAAAAAGCCCAAGTGTAAAAAAAGTTAACAGACCTTCTTCAGACTTGCTCATTCAGTAAAAAGTGGAAAGGTTGTCTCAACCTGCATGTCACAGCTGAGATGACCACACAGAATAAAGTGAAATGCATTGTGACAGAGTAACAGAGTGGTCCTAATTGAAAATCACATCCCAGAAGAAGCGTTTTATTAGCCACTCACACCTCTTACCTGCAGTCTTTGAAAAAGGCCTAGTGCAAAAAATGGAACACGGCCAAGATTTGGTCTGTGACCTTGTACTAGTTGATTAGTTTGAAAATCTAAAAACACGCTTGTCTGCTCTTTTCAAATGCTATGATCACACCAGTATATAAAATAAAAATGGTACTACTACATCCAGGCAATCAACATAGTAACCAGCACATTTGTGTTCAGTCAGCAAGATATGCAATCTATCCAGGCTCTTAACTGCTTCAAATAGGGATTTACTCATTGTCTTCAGAGAAACACCAATTTCTGCTTTAAAGTAGAAATCATTTGTTCAACAGAGACAACGGAGGATGTTCTTGACATTCATTAAGAAATAATTTTAATTTCTGTAGTGATATTATTTTACCTTAAATCATCAAAAGAAATAAATGAATAACATCTTATCAAATTGCTTTGAGCACCAATAGACAGTTTTTTATTATTATTATTTTTTATTGGATGGCTGTTCTTCAAAACCATTTTATTCAAGTTGGCCTGTGGTCAAATTTGCATTAATATAAATCATAAGTATATGGGCTCATGTCTCCAGAGATGTTTTGGCATTTACACCAATGGAGCTAAGAGCTGATTTTGATATGCATTCAGTATCAAAATTTTTAGTGTTGGCAGAATACAGAATTGTTACTTTGGTAGATTACATTGCCTTTTTACTATTTGACAGACAAAATAAATGGGTTATTAATTAAAATTATTATTAAGATTTTTTTTTGGACTCTGAATTTTGATTATCTGGTCTGCTGGCTTTTTCTATCATATCATCCCAGTGTCACTAACCACAAATAAAAACCTGTGCATAAACCAGTTCCTATTCTCATTTTTGCATCATTTCTGCTTCACAATAGGGATTCACACTAATCATAAGTAGCATAATTTCTGGCAGTCTTGTTGCAGTCATGCTTGTCATCTTCTTTTCAGCTCCCTGTGTCTGAGCATGCACACCTGGAGTGCCATAATGCTCAAGCAATGCACTGCCTGTTGTGTTTTCTTCCTTCTCTAATATATTTGGAATTGCTGGAGGCAATTTCTATCAAGTCCATAAAAGAGGGAGGGAAGGAAAGAGAGAGGTATCATGTTTTTAGCCTTGGGCAGTGAAATTTTACTGGACATATTACCTCAGTAGTATTAGATAAGAGTAGATTCACACTTAATGATTATAGCCATCCCTTTTAGCTTCAAATTCTGGAGGTAACTGCCACTGCAGACTATGGATCAACATGCAGATACACTGCGCTACCTCCAGAACAGCCTGACAGAGGAGCAGGCATAGTTTAGCTGCTGTGTGACCTCTTTTCTCCACTTCTGCAAGAAATGAGTCCACATGGGCTGCAACACTACTATGACAAGGCAACTACTATTGTCAAAGCTAGTTTGCTACACACCACTGTGGCTTTCAAACTGTAATTTGCAGTAGTATAATCCATGACTGTAGGGCTGAATGACATCCCCCCGCTCATATCAAGTGGCTTCACAGCCATTTTAACAGGATTCCTTGGGGATCCCCTTGTACAGAGGAATGTTCTGGGAAATAGACACCAAACGGAAGTATTTATGCCATTCCATATTGGTGAATAGGTAGGGGTTGATTCTTCTGAAACAAAACACTCCCAGGGTACACTTTCAGCAGTGATGGAGGTCAGGGTTAGTACTTGCTAACAGTACACTAATGATCAGTATCAGCATAACTAAACCCCAGGCAGCTACAGAAATAGCATGGTGCCTTCAAACTGTTTCTACCCATTTCCTGGGGACAAGAAAGATGAAGTAGCAGCTCTTGAGTTTAGTAATAATACATGGATATTATGCTGGTTCAAGACTTCAAAGTGCTCAGCCTGAAGAAGAAAGTTCTTCATATGCAAGGTTCTTGTCACGCATACCACCAGGACTACTGGTCTTATGTCATTTTGTCTTGAAGAACCAAACAGCAAGAAAGGGAATGACAAGCTCTTGGGGTCTGAGACTTCTCTGCGGGACTTTTGTTTATAGAAACGGGTTTTAAATGAGCCCAGATTGAACCCAACATCTAAAACAAGTTCAGTAGCAGTTTTTAATGACTTAAACTGGCTGGAGCAGCTGGCAAGACATCTTGCACCCCTCTGAGAAACTGAGGTTAGTGCAGGGAGCATGTGTGGCTGGCACACATAACATGTACAGCTTTATCACCATCATGTAACATCAGGAAAAATCATTTAAATCAGGGCAGGTGACAAGGTCAGTTTGGGAGAAGTGTGTATGTATAAAATATGAAATACTGCATTAGGATAAGGACCTTATAATACACCTGCATGTCCCGTTGCCACAGAGGTACTCAGAAACACAAAAGTACCAACAGAACCACTTCAAGCTCTATCACACTGGCAGTCACCCTTGTCAGACAGTAAGGTGTTACTGATACTAACCCTACCCACCCTCAGCACTTACTGAGCTATTGCTAACAGACAAAATAATAAAGGACGGCACCAATTAAACAACAGGTGGGAAATATTAGTAAGCCTATTGATATTGCTGCTATTATGAAAAGAGTTAAAATATTTAGCCCCGAAAGTAATTTGCAACTCATAAAGTAGAAATGTCGCTTTTTCATTCCTGATTGCAGAATAACAAATGACAGCTTTCAGTCATCTCCACCACAAAATACCTCTCTGGAAACTTGTACAACTTCAGTGTCTCTCTTTATAGCCTAGATATTTAAAAATGAACAAATGCTTTCTTGGTTAGGAGCAGCTGGCTAAGAAACCTGCTCCTTAATTAGCAGCTTCTCCCCAGGGATATTTACTCAGTAAATTTACTCTTCAGTGGAAGTGCCACTGGTGATTCAAAGAATAGGGCCCATCTCCTCTGCATCCACTGGCTTTTAACTAAGAAAATACTTGTACATTTTTAGGAGATGACTCTTGTTATTTGCTTTGCTCAGAGAAAACAAAGCGGAGAAACTGCCGAACATGTTTGCTGATACAATTTCTCAGCTACAGTGTAGGTTCGGATGACACTGTTCTATAGGGTTAAAAAATAAATCATGCCTCCCAAATTCTGCTAATCTCTTATGACAGCGAAAAAGATGTTTATTTGAATACTTCACACTCAAGACTTGAAGCATTCAGGACTTACAGAACATATTCAAGACATCGTATATTAATAACACACTTT